ATATCGATCTACATGAATTTTAATCACTAGTGTTGCATTTACCACTCTTATTACTATAAAATGCAACAAAATGGTCTTTGTTGTCAAGTCACGTTAAAGAGTCCGTCCATTTTTCAAAGCTGACCAATCATTGCACTAGATGTCGGACAATTTCAGACGAAAATACCCTTCTAGTTGTGTATAAAAAATGTGCGTCTTTCTTTCTTTCTTGAACTCAATTAAAAGTGGATTGGCTACTAGATAGATTTTCGATTATATTGTTTTATTTAATTAATATATGTAATATTCATGTTAAACAAATTATATAATAGATTTGACATTTACTAATTATTTGATGGATGAATGAATTAAACACAAAAAATGTATGTCACACCAAAATGTATTAATGTTTGGCTATAGCCACTGAACTTCAATTAATTATCAGGTTGATTTATTATCTATGAAACCAATTAACATCAATTAATTTATCACTTTTGAGAAATTTGCAGGAAATTACTACACACACACACACACACACACACACACACACACACACACTGTCACATCACAGCACAACTACAGGCAGAGAATGGAATTAGGCAAAAAATAAAAATAAAATAAAAATCATGAGTATGTTGAATAAAAATAGTTTGGCCTTATTAGTGTGGTGCAGCCCATGTGGGAAGTGGCGACACTGTAGATTAAGGAAACATCCTAGAAAATAGCATGAAATTTTAAGGAAATATATATTGCCTTATTACAAATCAAATATTAAATTATTTAGTAATTTATATCAATTAAATAAATAAGGAAAATGTGTGGTATACACTACAATTCTTGCACAACTTAAATTGACCATTCTTGTTTTTTTTTTTTTGTAATGCAGGAACCCGCAGCCAACTCTCGTATAATAGCTTGCAAACCATACGAGAGATGTAAACCACACTAGGCTAACCATGTGTGACAAGCTCGACCTAGCGACCGTTGGCAAGGAGATTCGAACTTGGGTCAATTGACACAACCTCTCTTGCTCCAACCGCTAGGCCACCCTTGCGGGTTAATTGACCATTCTTGTTGATTATATTTCAATGCTTTCTTTCTCTTGATCACATGATGTTTTTAATTAGGAGTGATCTAATATTATATTATTTATTTTTCTTATTACTTAATAAGAAAATAAATAATATATATATATATATATATATATATATACATTTTATTTCGTGGAGATTATGATGAAATTACCAAGTACAAACCCAAAAACATGAGTTGCTTAAATTCGGTTACAATTTTGACCGTGACTTTTAGGCCTTTAAACTAAAACGGTTTGACTTGGGGCTGAAGTCAAACAATCTTCAAATATTTGAAAGTTTGTACTAAGTCAACTCAGTTTAGGTTAAAATTACAACTTAAGAAGTACATACATAATATATTCACACACGCTACATCAGACTTGAAATTTACACATAATGATAATTAATTAAATAAACAGAGTAGCCAATAGATTATATAACAAATAAAATTATTATTTCGAATCAAGAAAGTCATGAGCTAATTTTGATTCCTCTAAGTATATATAATATTCGCGTGTTCATACTTGTTGTTATGTTAATAAAGTCATATATATATATATATATATATATATATATATATATATATATATATATATATATATATATATATATATATATATATATATATATATATATATATATATATATATATATATATATATATATATATATATATATATATATATATATATATATATATATATATATATATATATATATATATATATATATATATATATATATATATATAAACAACACAAGATTTGTACAAGTATACATGGGGTGTTCACGATTTGGTATAAGACATGCATAATAGTATAATACAAATTAATCAATCATGGCCGATTCCAAACTTTGAGACGTATTAGACAAGGAAAACAAAATAAGATAGAATTATTTATATATACATATATAAATTATAAATTAGATTAATTAAACAATAAATAAAATAGTTAATATAATATATGATGTGCCTAGTTTGGACTTCTACCCAAAGAGTGGCAAATTTAACCCAAACTACAAGGCCCCTATTAAAAGAAGTCACCAAATACCAAGGATGTAGATGAGCTGAGCTCGATGAGCTGGCTTGACAAATGCTCGAGCTTGATTTTTCTGACGAATCGAGTTCGAGCTCATTCTTATTTGTTCATGAGCTCGCGAGCCGGCTCGCAAGTTTTTTTTTTATTTAATTTCAATATTTTTTTTAGTTTAAATATAGTTACTATAAAATTAAATAATAAATTCATATAAATAATTAAAAAAATAAATTACATGTCATTTTTTTATTTCATTTCTTTATTATAATTTATAACAATAAAATTCTAATAATATTAAAAAAAAAATGGGCTTAGGCTCGAGTCAAAAAAAATCTAAGACCTAATCTATATTCTAAAAGTAAGATCAGACAAGATAAATTCGTACAATTTTATTTGACCATAATTGCGGTAGCAGAAGCCCCACACACAATCAAAAGAGATCATTTTTTTCGTATCGGGATATTCCTGCATTAACCAAACATCAAACAAAATTTTATTATTCAATTAATCACTACTAATCAAACTAGACCTTAGCGTAACACTCGAATAGCGCGCTATTTAAATCTAGAATTGCCATAGGGTCGTTGTCTCTAGACCCGATCCATGGGTCGATAATATTAACCAATGGAACCGGATCTTTAACTAGCTCATGGATATAATGTATAGTTGATTAATTGGTCAAGAATTATAGAAATATAAAACTAATATAAAATAAAAAAAAAAGGTTTGATTGTATATTTATTTTTATATAAAGGACTGTGATTACTCAAATAATTGACTATTCCGTTGGAATGTGGAAACATTAAATATTGAAAAAATTATAAAATAAATAAATTTGTAATATATATATAAGTTAGATACACGTATGTTTGACAAATATTTTTTAGATTGAGAAAGGGGTGGATACAAAGGTTAGCACGTTGTGTGGAAATAATTTGTAAGATTTTTGGAGTTAGAAAAAAACAAATTGATTGAGAAATGGAGAAATTTGAATTTGAATTTGGATTTTTATTTTAATAGTGTGTGAGGGAGAGCAGTCAGCCTAGTCCATTTGACCAGTCGGTGAAGTATTACTAATTTGTTTGGTGAATTAATAATTAAAATATTGATAGTGGTGATTAATAATAATTAATTAATTATAATATTTGGTTTGTTCTTATTTTCGACCAAATTTAACCTGGAATGTGAAAACGGCAAACGTTGTCTGTGTGAATGTGAAAGGGCCAACGTTGTCGGGGTGTAACTACATTTTTTATTTACTCGAAAAAAAAAAAAAAACCTACATTTTTTATTTTTATTTTTTTGTAAATTACAACCGCCAACATGAGGTATGGTCAAATTACGAAACCATCCCCCCCTTTTGGATAATTACGTCTACCCATCAACTATAAATCGTCTTACACGTTCACTCTAGCTTGTTGTTTCAAATTTCGTAGAATCTTCTAGATTATATTGAATATTCTCAATTTTGTACCCGTTTTTTTCCAATTCAAGTCCTACATTTTGAAGGGAGATGATCATAAAATGTGTTTTTTGGTTTGTATATATCAGATTGTGGTGCATCAGAAACTGTATTTTTTCACGAAACAAGTACAAACTAGATAAAATTCCACGGAATCTAGATGATTATGTTGAATTTGACATCATAAGGGTAGGTATGTAAGAAGATTCATTGTTAAGGGGTGTAGATGTAATTATCCAAATATAAGGGGTTTTTTAATTTGATCATACCTCAGGGGTAGTTGTAATATACCATTTTATTTTCAGTGTGACAAATTACTATAGTAGTATTTTTTATTGTAATTTTTTTGGAAAGGGGTAGGGTAACTAGTTCTGGAATTTGGGAAAATTATATGATGCGCCCGATTATTAACATCGGCTGATGTTAATCGTGGATCTACACATAATCACATACACCCATGTGTGTGTTCGGTGAGTTGTTATTTAACTTCATCAACGGTTAACTGATACTGGCCTGAACTCAATGTAGCATATAACTTCCCATAAAATTTGTTAATGTTTGATTTTTTTCTTTCATTTGTCCGTAGTATTTGCATTTTTTCTTTTCAATTATTCTTATACGATTAACAATTTGATGCCCTTAAATTTTATATTTTTCTACAAATAATTATAGATTTAATCCGTGGACTTAGGGATATATATATTTTACTAAATTGTTACATTAAAATCTCTATGTTCTAACTTAGGTGTTCCAATTATGGACAAGGACATAAATTAGATGTTACATAACCTTTGATGTAACACTGCTGATTTAATTGTCCTTTCCAAATAAGAACTGATGTACAATTTAGAAAAAAAATAAGTCGCACCACCTGATTATATATAATACGAGCGTACACAATTTTTTTTTTAATTTATATAAGATAATAGGTGTTGGGGGCCATGGCCCCCGGGCCATATTCTGGCGCCACCACTGCTAAATTCGAATTCAAATAGTCAATATTCAAACCTTCCTAGAAGATAATATCCCCAAAACAAACACACTATTGGTGTGTTTGAAAACCGAGTCTGCAGTCTCAAAAATAAAAATTAATAAAATAATAATAATAAATGAGTCTGCAGAATTAGACTGACTATAATTTTGTGTGTCGAAACTCAAATCTACAATTTCTTCATACTCTGGAGTTTACTTATCAACGCAATATTTATAAGTTTGAATTTTGATTCTTGACTGAAAATATTTTTGTACACACGGCAGAGATTCTGATTATTCATATAATAATTTTATAAAAATATTCGATAAAGAATTTTTAATAAGTGGGCCGGCCCGGTATACAGATGAGGTTACTTTCTTAATGCATTTCGGGCCCTAGTAGCAATTAGCCCAATAAAAACTATATTCAGAGAAAATTCAATGTGGTTCCTCTTTTTAAATTTCTCTCAACTCTTCTAATACACAGTTAAATTCTAAAATAAATAATAAATAAACACACATTTGATTCCTTCCCAAAATTCTAAAATTTAGAAATGTCTTTCTCTTCCCCCCTCTCCATTTGAGATAAACCACAGAAATGCAGTATGCTTAAAAAAAAAAAACCAAAAGGTATGGATTAAGTGTTCTCTCGTAAAAAGATCGAAAAACACGATTTTGTGGCTTAAAAGTTCCAGCTACACACGACTACGCCTAACCACAAATTCATATAAAGATGTCACCCTCACTAATTGCATGCCTTCCCC